CATCGAACTGCCAGACTTTGTGAGTATAGAGGAGGCTATGGAACGACACATTTCCACATCGATGCTCGTCCCGTTATAGAGCCGCGAAGAGCCAACGCAGCTCGGGGACAAGTCTTTTCTCCGCTCCAGCTTCACCGACAAAAAACGCTACGTTTGTGAGCGAGCGATAATGCGAATGAATAATAGGGTCGCAGTAACCCGGATTTTGTAACGTCAGATGGCAAAATCTAATGTTTTTTTTTTTGTTTTTTTTTTTGCGTTGTTCGGGACATGTTGCCGCAGATCCCCGTAACGGAGCGTAATCTCTTTCTTCTTTTCTCGGTAAATGACTGATAGTGGGCGGACAATTTTGGTCTTGATTATCATAAGAGGAATCAGTTTCAATTTGAAATCGAGGCGATCAAGTGTAGACGTACGCTAACATGCACCGACGGGCAGCTTTGTAGGGGCCTGGTTAAGGAGTCTATACGCGCAAATGAACACGAGGTGGGTGCTGCGGAAGCATGCACAAAAATGTGTTTAACTACCACCGCTTCATTCAGAAGTGTCTGTGACGGACAGTTAAAAAGCGCAGGGCGGGGCGAGAGCAGAACATTTTCGCCGCCAATAGGTGAGCCTCTTTTGCCAATACCGATCACGAAGCAAGTGAACCATATAAGCGACTCATTTCTTTTCTACTCAGGTCTACCTCCTGGTTAGCCCAGTTGGAAGAGCGCTCCACTGGAAATGGAGAGGTACCTGGTTCGTTAACAGGACCAGGCGGTGTTTTTCGGTCGCGCACCAGTCACCTAGTTGTGTTTGAAGATTTGTGTTCGTTCGAACCCCCGTTGTCGCAAAAAGAGTTGTTTCATTTTCTACAACATAAAAACTCTCAAAGTTTGTCTTGAGTACGCGTTCCGTAAGGGCGCTGTTCCATTGAAGAAACAGCTGGACAACTCTGTCCATCAACAAACGGGGAACTTGTTTTCGGCGGCCCTGTCAAATTAAAGCAACAGAAACTGTCGGAAAACTTTTTTTTTTTACTCCCGGCAACCGTGTGTTCGTCTATTTGTTGTCCAAAAGTCGGACAACACACCGCGCAGACAGCGCGGCCCACACGGGGGACACTTTGCTATCTTGATTGTTTACTTTCGTTCGTGCGCGGCGGGGCGCCGCTGGAAATGTGACGCTACAAAGTGCTAGTGGCTTCCCACAGTCGTACATTACCACGGAACGACATCAATCAGGTACTGCCATTAGAAAGCTTGACAGAAAGTGTGCTTTTCGCTTGTTATTTTATCAAAATGTTCTTTATTCGCTGGCGAAGCGGGCCCTAGCTTGGTGGGGGAGGAGATCTCTGCTATGTTCTTGGTATACGCCACCATATACAAAGTGTTTCTGTCGGGTTATGTCTTTCATGCGATTCATATTCCCGTGTAAAGTTAAGTTGGTAGCGGCACTACCCAAAAGTGTCATTTGTTGCGTAACGTTGAGCTAAACTGTCAGTATATACTTAAAAACAACACAGACACGATCGGCCTTCATAAAAATCGGTGGTACATATATATATATAAAGAGAGAGAGACAGAGAGAAAGATAGAGATATAGATAGATAGATAGATATTTTAACGCTGTATATTTGCCATCACACTTTGTTGTGACTGCTTGGTTCCCCAAAACCTCCTGAGGATTTTCGAAACGTTGCAGCTGTCTGGCAGCGGCGGTGTTCAAGTTCCAAGCATCAACAATCATGATCACAGCGGTCATTTTCATGTTTCGGTCTCTGAATCTCTTGCTTTTGTGAAGGCTTTTTTTCTTTTTCTTTTATCAAATGGGTGAGTAGACATGACATTTGATTTCAATAGCAGTAATGTGAGCTGGTCTCTCGGAAGTTCTATTTCCAAAACCGCATCAATGTTCACGACCGTAGCTGTGACCATTTGGACAATAGCTTTCCTTACTTGCCCAGTGAAAACATTCTTCAAAATAGTATAGATGAACGCCACCCTTAATATTTGTATAACGTTTTCCAGACCTTTGTTTGAATCAGCACTTAAAAAAAAAAGGAAACACGTTATTCATAGGGAACTCTGCCATCGAAACTATCTGTATTGTGTTGACGGCACAAAATTCGCTCATCCACCGATATAGACAACACGTGTCGTCCAACACAAGTTGCTGCTCTTTTTGTTGCCGAAAGCTGTGACACCGAGGCAACGCTGTTGCTGTCACCTCCGTGAGGATGATGAGCTCCAGCGACAACGTTACTAAAACACCCAGTTCGGAAACTCACCCTTGAAACCCGGACCACTCGCGTCCACCGAGACCAAACTAGATACGATTACAGCGCCTCCCTTTAACGACGAGTCAAAGCATGAAAGTGAATTTATAAAGCTACTGCGAAATGACACTGCGAGATGGCGCCACCGGCATTTGCGCGACTCGACTTGAACCAATACGTGCAGCAAGGACTCCGAGACCCCGAAGCGCGCGAACGCTTCCCTTCGGGATCTTGGAGGTTATCCGTGCAGGCGTATGGTAGTTCCTGGAGTGGCCACTGTGGGAGAAAGGGCGGCGTTGCGATCGCCTTTAGTTCGGTTCTGGAGTACAGATCGGAGCCACTTTTTCAAAGCAGGCTCTATGGCAGTTTCCCAACTGAGTTGTCCTAATAACGTTGTCCCGCGATGACAGGTTTGTCGGGCAACAGGACGACCGAAGACAAAGTTGAACAACTGTTGATGATATGTTGTGGTCCAGTCGCCGCCGTGTTTTCTCAACGCAACAGGGCCTTCAAAGTCTTTTTTTTTTTTTCGCCGGACAGCAATTGATTTTTTCCGCGTAAAGATGACATCTAGCGGCAGGTGCGTGGAACCATTCTGGAGGTTTGGATCATTAAGGTGAAGAGAGACGGTACATGTTTATGTTCTGAAAGGTGGAAATCAGGACAAAAGAACATCCCTATCCGCTGCCGTCCGAGAACGTGCCGCAATCAGTCACAGCGGAAGACCACGCGCGCACGCGCCGTACGGTTTTGTAAGAAACGCTTCATTCTACTTGGGGTCAAGTGTGTGTGGGCGTGCATAGCTTTGGACGGCGCGACGTTGGTCGGCGCAACGGTGGTCGGCGCTTAAGGTGTACGAACGCAAGAGCGCCCATAGCCTGGACTGAATAGACCTTTCGCTAAATTACCCAAGGAAGAAAAATAATGTTGGGAACGTAGGTGCACGCTCTGCCTGTGCTCGCCTTCCCCACAGAAAAGATTCGATGTAACTATCCAAAATGAAGCGTCCGTGGAACGCGCCTGCGAAGTGCCATTAACATTAAAAACGAGCGTGTTGGTAAATATACTTAAACAACCGGAAAGAATAAACCGAAATTCGGGACGAAAACTGACACATACAACTCTTTGAACTCTCTGTCTGCCACTCTATATCTGCACCATTGCAGTTGAAAGAGTTGTATGCGCCAGTTTTCGTCCCGAATTTGTGTTTATTCTTTCCGGTTGTTTAAGGGCAATTAGTTTTAGATTTTTGCTTTCGAACAGTTACAGCTGAAGGCGCCACCTACGTTCCCTGCATTCTTTTTGATGCTCGGGTGATTCGGTGAAAGGTATATTAGAATGTACTAGAATACGGAAGAGTGTTGGGACGCGCGTGGTGTAAATCGCGACAGGTGTCCTCACCGGCGCCACAATCGTGAGCTTGTGCGCGTGCGATGCGGTAGGTGAAAAAGTAAAAAAATTAGATGCAGTGTTCTTTTGAATTCGTTTCGCGGGTTCGTTGTGTATAGGGGGCAGAGATGAAGGTGTGGTGCCTGACAGAACCTCTGCCCCCTAAGCCCTTCAGTAGTTCAGGTTGTGAAAGATATCACGAAGGATGAAGCGAAGTTTTAAACGCAGACAACTCTTGTTCCTTCGAGGCGTCTGCCCTGTCTTTGCAATATCCTTTCCCGAGCGTCTTTTGCGGCTTTGTCCTTTGGAACGCTGAAAAGAGACAGCATCGCACCCTTCAAGTCCGTGCGGCGCGTTTGGCGGCCAATCTAGCAGCAGCTGTTCCGTCGCCCTCCCGTCGAGGGCGTTTTTACGTCATTCCTACGCGTCCACTATCTGCATAACCGGAAGAACACACCGAATTTGAAATTGATTGCGATCAAACAGGGAATTAGGATATCGTAGTGAGCGCGCAGACGCAATTAATCAATGCGCAAGATAAGCACACATACACACGCAAGAAGATGAAACAATACAAAGACGGCATTGCGAACGCCTTCACGCACTCTCGGCCAAACTCGGCGGAATTGAGCCATTTTTGAGGACGCAAATGAAAGCGCCAGGGAAAGGGACAAGAAAGGCGAGAAAAACAAAAGCGCTTTGTTTCTCACGCATATCGCGTACCGTTCCCTGGCGCTTTTATTTTCGTAACGACGCATCCACTACCCCACACTTCCGTTATATTACATTTTGACCTTCTAGCGACAGCAGCGTCGCGAGTGTGGTCTACACGCGCGGCAGCTTAAGATTACCGATACGGGAAGGTTCCAACACAATTCTAGTACATTCTCGGTAAGAACGCCGGAAAAAGGAATTAAGAAGTCTGTCTCGTCTGTTTGTCTTGAATGTCCCTCTTTCCTTATCGTAAATAAGAAACTAACACGCTCAACCATCTACATCTACGTTATACTTACGAAAGCCTGTCTTGTCTGTTTGTCTTCAATAGAGAGTTTTAGTAGATCATGTTTTCAGACCACGCTAATCGTAGCGAGAGCTCGCGCTGCCACTTCGATGCATGCTCTGAAGCGCGCGCTTGTAGCGGTAGCGGCCCTTTGAAAACGATATTGTAAAACTCCCTAATGTCCCTCTTTCTTTATCGTAAAATTGAAACAGCCTGCCTTTCTTAAACAGTGACCGGAGTTTTAGTAGATCGTTCCAATACCGCCAGTAACGACTCCCGATAACGATGCATGCGCGAAGGCTATAGTTTTCGGAGTTATCCACACTAAAAACCGTGATGGCTGGGACTCACCTGGTGTGAGGTGCATCGCGGCGAACCCGTGGCGGCGTCCTCGTCGACGCGCCCAGTCCGCCAAGAAGCGAGAGTTGACAAAGGAAAGCGTGTGGCCGTCGGGTTCTCCCGCCGCCGCCGCCGGAGCCATTGTGGCGGCAGAGAACGGGCCCTCGCCATCGACGGCAAAGAGCAAAAAGAAAAATCTCGCCTCTCGGGAGGTCACTGCTGATAACCGGAAACGGCCGTATACTCCGGCTCGCCCCACGATGGACCGCAGTGAGACGCTACGGGTCGTCCCAGCCAATTGCAGCGCTGCGAACCTGCGACCCTTCCTGCGCGACCTCTCAAGGACACGTGACTTCCACGAGGGATGGGATTGGTCCCAATGGCTCGTAGCATCCACTGCGCTCCATCGGAAGGCCAAACGGCGTTTGTAGACCTGCTCGGACTCAGATGGACTGCACAGGTGCATCGGAGCTAATCCAGTTCTGAGAGAGTGCCAGGCGACCTTCAAGTTGGGCGCAGTGAGTCATAGAGCGTTTCGTCACGCGGTGCCTTCGCGGCGTTGGATTGGGTGAGGCGGTTCGTTGCCTCCGCCGCGGTCCATCTCGGGGTGGGGAGTGGGGGTTGCCGGCGACGGAACAGCGGCCACGCCAAGTCGTGACTGGAAGCCGCCTGAGATTGTTTCCTAAGGATTTCGTTTTCTTTGCGTTTTGAGCGGCGAGCTGCGTTCCCCGTTGCGCGCGTTGCGTATGCGTGCCCCCGTGAACACGTGCTCGGTTGAACGCGGCGACGAGGATCGTGAGAGGGGCTGTCCCGTGACGAGGGGAGTGCTGCGAGTGGTTTCCGAGCCCTTTTACGAGGGTCTTGTAAAAGGGCTTATTAACTGCGTAATATAGGATTTTCGTCCGTTATTGGTGACAAATGCACACTTACTCGGCTGTGGTCGCGTCGTCGCGTAGAAAAAACAACAGCAAACGCTTGAAGGGGCGATGCAACAATTTTTTGTACTTTGCGCAAATACCGCTTAGGACGGATCCCCGACGTTAATGACCTATGAAACACGCGTTCGTTTTTCACCCCACGCAATAGAAGTCCCGGAAAAAAATTATAGAACAACGAGCAGCGTTCACCCCCTCAACTTGCCTCAACTCGCGGCCAGAACAAGCGGCCGCGTGATCTGGAGCCGATTATATGCCGCCAATGTTGGTCATACCCACGCGCCGGGGTTGGCAAAGCACAGGACACGGGCGACTGCCCGAATGCTTCTCCAGCCACTAATTGTTACTAACTTCATAGGGTCATGGCGGCTTGAACTAGTAAAAAAGGGGTGGAACTACGAGTCATTCAATACTTGATGAAAAGATTTTTTTTTTTTACGAAACACTGGAATATTTTTGCCTAAAAACCCTACGGTATTTGGATTGCTATGTAATAAGGATCATGGTCATGGAATTTGGTATCCTCGAAGCAGTTAAAAAAAAAAAAAAAGGAATATATGAGCATTTTAGACTATTTTTAGTTTTGTTACAAACTATGGCTTTGCTGCATGCGTCTGTAAATACTTTTAATGACAGCCCTGTAGGTATACTGTACACAAAAAAGGTTTCAGGCAGTACACCTAAATATCTTGCAAAAAAAAAATTTTTTTTTGCAAAATTGCGTTTTGCCGTTTAAAGAGCCGTAAATTGTGCCTTGAGGTGGCCCCCAAATAAATACGTAACATTGTGACTTCTACAATAGGGTGTATTTCCTTTTGTTCTTGAAACTTTAATTAAAGTAATTTTCTTCTAAAGAGGAAAAAAAAAACATTTTGAAGTTGAGCTTTCGCACCGCAACCTGGCGTCGTTCCTTGCGCCTCTTCTCTGCACAGCACGCCGCCGTCGAGCCCGGCAAAGCGTGCGACGGTGTCACGGTGTGCACACGCAGGTAGAAAGCAGGACCTCGAGTTGTCGGGTACATCTTGGCGGGAAGGTGACTTTTCCCATTTTGACCGTTTTGCGCGGCTGTGTCCGTCTGTGGACTTCCACTGTCTTGATATCAGCAAATGCTTAGCGCTGCCAGGTAAGAGCATCCACTAGTAAGCTAGCTGTTTCTTACGTACACATCGCAATCACTCCCTCTTCTCGACGTCAGGACAGATGTATTCAGCAACACAAAAGCCCCGTGAACGGGCAGTCTCATACGACGAGGCGATGTGGTGTGAACGAATGCGCGCAGTTGGAGGCTCATGCCTCGTTTGTGTATAAATCGGTTTTGAAACGGCCAATTCTTGCGTCGCTGAATAGTTCCGCTTTTCACCGCAGTATGATCGATTTCATCGCGTTTCCCTTTTAGGAGAAGTCCACGTCAACTGATGCCGTCCGTATTAGGCATCGCGTTTCGAGCCGCCCTCCGGTACAAAGGGCACAATGGGCCTGCTGTCGATGTCGATGGCGAAAAAGATGCAAACAGTCAGAACGAAGCGCCAGCCCACATAGACGCCTTGATAAATTATATACATCAAGAGGCTTTGAAGCCGAGTGTGTGCTACTGACAGATTGAATGGGCCCGAGTTAGAAATGAACGCTTACGCAGCTCTTGCATCCGATTTCTGCTTCACGTTGCGCTAACGTCTAGAATGCATAGGCATCGAGTCATCTGCTTAGGAGCATCTTCAACTTCTTCCTTCATCACTAAACAGATGGCCGCCATTAGTATAGCACATATGCCATTTTTTCAGATGATGATAGTGATCAAAGTTGCCAGTCTGAATTCCGGAAAGGGTCTGTTTTAATATTCAGTAACCTTAATGCATTTCTATGCAACAGAAAACATGCAGGAAGATTGCACATGTATCATGTTTCCCAGTTCTGTTTTATAAAACGAAACAAAAAAACTTAAAATTATAATTATAATGCAATTAAATGCAAAGGTGCAAGCGAGCTGGACAAGAATGACGAAAATAATCCCTGGAGAAGGGGAACAAGAGGTGTTTGTCCTTTGCCCCCTTGTTCCCCTTCTCCAGGGATTATTTTCGTCATTAAAATTATCTTAATTTGCGTAATTTGTTTTAGAGGGGGGGGGGGGGGCGTCACATTTTTACACCAGTGCCACAAAATGTCTTTTGGCTATTAACGGAGGCATGGTCAAAATAGACTGGGAGTGTAACCTCCTAAACTCTGTTGTGACCCAGAGAAGAAACGGTGAGATGTTGCGACTCTTTTTTGCCTTCGTCTCAGGGAAAAAGAAGACGAAGCACCGACCAGTGCTCTCTGATGCATTCCGAGCTCCGCAAATTTTTCCCGAAAATCCCGGAACACTTCACCAGTGACCTTTCAAGCTGCACGAAAAGGTCAGTATACCTCACCTGGACCTTCGAGCAGCAATATCCCGGACCTATTAGACCTGACTTTATCGCCCAAGGTCAACTTCACCCCCCCCCCGTGCGGGGACCGACTCGCTAAGCCTGACATTCGGAAAGACAGCCGACTTGACCCTGCACTCGGCCCGGCCACCGTCCGCTCGACCAGGGTCCAACAACACTTTCCGACAACATCGACGTCATGGATATTGACCAAGTAAACTCCCATGAATGGCAGACTGTCGGCACGGCGCCACGGCAGCCCCACACCACGACCATTATAGTGAAACTATCCGACAACATCAACCTCGGCAGCGTGGACACGCATATGCTTGGAGCCGACGTGCTTCACGCCGCTGGCCTCAACACCATCGAGCGAAAAGACACCTATATAAAAGTACGAACAATCCAGAACCTCCTCGCAATCGACACTTACAGACCTTCGGCCGAGACCAAATTACTTGCTCTGAAAACCGTACATATCCGAGGCAAACAGCATGAAATCAGGACATACAAGGCCAATGATCCAGCAGACGCACGCGGAGTTGTGCATGGAATCCCCGCGACATTATCAGAAGAAGACATCCGCAACACCCTCGAAGTGGAACACGCCAGGCTCCTGCACCTCCGCCGCATCGGCACGTCTAACACTATCCTGGTCACAGTTGAGGGACCACGGCTACCGCACTACGCCTTTATGAACCGCGTCGCCATAAGACTGCACCCTTACCAGCCGCGAAACATCCTTTGCACGCTCTGCTGTGTGATCGGACACCGCACCGACGTCTGTCCCAACAAAACTCAATTCACCACATTCCTCAACTGCAGCAAACAGTTCCCCGTGGGTCAAACTCCTGCAACTCCTCATGAATGCGAGCCACACTGCGCAAACTGCGGAGAAGACCACCCGCCCACTTCCCCTAATTGCGCCGCCCGACTGCAGGCAAACCAAGCAGCTCAGACGCAAGCCCTACAGAAACGACGACATCAACTCCAATCTCTGGCACCACTGACGTCTCAAGCGTAGCCAGAATTGCCCACCCACAACCGGTTCGAAGCCCTTCAAACCTCGCAAAGGAGCAGAAGCAAGAGCCGAACCCGGGACGAAACATCAAGAGAGCTGTCAACCACACCACCCAAAACAACACCACCACCCAAGACCCCGAGCCCCAAGTTACCAGGGTCGGCCCAAAGAACCACCATCCCTACCACCAATGTGAGCGAGCCAGCTTTCCAGGGACCCCCTTCTCCTCCTCTATTCTCCCACCCCCTAACATGTCAAAATCAGTCACATTACACCCGTCCTATACGCAAACCCCACAGCACTCGCAACCGCACTCATCACTCACAGCCGCTTCCTCGCCAATAGAGCATGCCGTTGTGACTAAAGTAGACAAACCGGTAAACGCCATTTCGGCGCTTCAGTCCACCACACAGCAGATGCAACAGGACAACCAAAGGCGAGACGCACTCAGAGAGCAAATCATCGAACACAACAAACACTTGGCTAGTCGCCTCGATAACGAAGCCGCCACTATATTGAAACTAAAACAGGCCATAAAGGCCTTGGAGCTACCACGCAAACGACAAACTAGAAGCAGCCAAGGAGAAACATCCCACGGCACAGCCAAGATAGATATGGATATGAACCAAGATGTCTAATTCTCCACCGCCACCACCCACCGCATTTAACCCTTCTCCGTACACGCCACAAGCAACGTACACCATATGGCAATGGAATTGTAGAGGCGTACGTCGCAAAGAGGGCCTCCTTACTCAGTACATAAAGGTGGCTGACCCCAAACCTGACATCATTCTTCTTCAAGAAACAAACGGATTATTCACTATTCCTGGATATGAATTATTCACACAACCTATAGCATCACGCACAAAGACAAGCGGTCACCCACGGGCGTTTCGGTCCCCATCATGACCGCTACCTATGTATCCAAACACGTAGCTGCTACGCAAATTGACACCTCCCACCTGAACACACCATCCAATGAATACGTCACTGTCCAATGTCGTCTAGGGCACAACACCAAGGAAACTATCATCACGAACGCCTACTGGCTACCTAAACACCCTAACGCAAACCTAGGATGGCTAGCTAAACACTCAGCAGGATAAAAGTCTCATCCGGTCCTCATAGCAGGGGATTTTAACAGCCCACAGCACCTCCTGGGGATATAAACGCACCACTTCAAATG